GACCAAGCGTGCTACCTCATTTGTCAGAAAGAAAACCATGGGGCCCTCAGGTATGAAACTGTTATCGTGAGGCAAAGTTTTGCTTTGAAAGTTCCAATGTAAAGTAACAGGAGATTCTGTTGACATGGAAAAAGAAAATTATAAATAATCAGCTGATAGAATGCTAAGCTGAAAGCAGATTGAATCACCATTTTATGTAAGATGTAGATTTACTTTATTCTTCCTTTGGTTACTTACAGGGATTTGTTGGCCCAATGGGCATGCCAGATTTTGCTGGACCTCCCCACAGAAGAAGTTTGGGTTTTGGAGGGTATATGGATTATGGTTTTTGTTGTTACATTCTATTTTCAAATGACATTTCGATGAAAATTTGAGGATTGTCTAATTATTTTCTTTATTCTTATATGAATGTACAGAGGAAGCCAACCAGCTATTATTACAAGCACCACAGTTGAAGTTGTTGTTCCTCGCTCTCTAGTTCCTATAATACATGGAGAAGATGGTGCTTGTTTGAAACAAATACGTCAGGTACATATACATTCATGTAATATTTTTACACATGTAAATATGTATCTACTTTCCATCTTTATGGTGGAAAAGGAAATCAACGATATCAGTTTCTTTATAGTCTGGCAGTAGTGGCTTCTGTTACTGCAAAAATGCATCCACACACATGTAGAGATCCAGATGTGTAGATATCTATTCATGGGCATGTGATCCTTATCAATTCTTATGTTGTTTTACCTGCTACAGTTTTCTGATGCAAAAATTACAATTACTGAACCTAAGCCTGGATCAGCTGAAACTGTGATTATAATATCTGGAACACCTGAACAAACCCATGCTGCACAGAGTCTTATTCAAGCTTTTGTTATGAGTGAGAGAGAATCTGCCTGAACCTTCTAACCAGGTATTAAACTGTATTTTTCTTCTTTTATTTGTATATTGTCATAAGGCATATTCACCATTCAGTACTCAGTCTGGAGAATACTAGTTATAACCTTTTGTAACTGATTTTTTTCTCGGAAGAATCATTTCATAGTTTCTTGGAAAACTTAATTTAGTGTATGGTGCTTATATTTGCTGCTAAAACTTATCACCTCAGACGAATATTGTTCAGGTGGAGATTGCCTGGATTCTTGTTTTATGGCTTTGTGAGTGTGCTGAAACTTACTTGAACTTAGCTCAGAACTGATATTAAACTTTGCAGAATCATATGGAAAGTGTTCCTCTTCAATCCATGTGAGAGTTAAACCAGTGATCAATTTGTTTCTTTTTTACCCTTTAAAATTAAAAGGAAAAAAAAAAATTAGGCTGCCTTTTTACTTAACAATATAAATGCATGCGTTAATGGGTAGATGAACATGGGTATTAGGTTGGATGAACTTTCCAAAAACTGCCAGGAAAAAATATCATTTCTGATTCTTGTAATAAAACTGGGGCCATTATGTAATATTTTCTGTTGTTCACTGCATTATTTTTTTATAATTTTCTTCATTTTCTTAGAATGCTGTCTGACTTATTTCTCCTGTCTAGTCTTAGTTTACCATGTGGCTATGCCAAATAGTAAATGCATAAAGCAAAACTTTTACTGCATGAGTTAATCTTAATGTAGAAGAATGACTAGCATTGGTTATTGAATTGAAGGGAAAAAAATGAGAGAAGGAAGTGAGTAGCATTGAAGATGAAAATATTCTCTAGAGCTAGAAATGTTGAAATGAATGGGAGATATGGCACTAATACTGTTCTCCTCTTCTTCTTCTGAACATATTATTTGATGATTGATGTTAG